GAACTTACAGGGAACATAAAGTGATGAGGAATAGGGCTGGGCCTTTTCCAAACAGAAAATTCATCCATCCATGAAATTCTGCTCCTTAAAAGAAATTTGCTAACAACAACCAGACAGAGGGGCACCTTCAACAGGGCACTGTAAGCACCCTGCCAATCAAACCATTCCATGGGCAAGGAAACATGTGGAGCCTGGTTTCCTATTTCACCTCCTCCCTGCCCCATGCAGATTATCTGATACCAGTAATACAGTCTGAGCTCATACTGGAATCATCTGTACATTAGGGGCATTAGTTCAGATCTCTCTCCTCTATCCAGTGCCCATTTTCCAGCAACCCTTAGGCACAAAGTACCTTTAAGACTCCACCCACCACCTAAGCCCTGCATTCTTGAGAAAGCAAGCTAACAGAAATAAAGTAAAAAGCCCTTTTCTTGTCATCTGGGGAGTACCTCAGGAAAAACACAAAAAGTTTCATGCCAGATCAGTAAGAAAACAATTCTTGTAGCTCTTCAGGCTATTTGTACTTCACTGCCACAGCAAGTCCGACTGCATAGGGTAGAATGGTTTGGTGGCAAAGACAAACAAAAAACATAGAACCTTTGAAGAGATGGAAGGATCCTGAAGGAAAACCAGTAAGGAACTTCTCCCAAGTAGGTAGATATGATATTTCTCAATAATAGAGCTTTCTGCATCTACCATTTTTATATAAAATCCTCTCTCCCCATCTGCAGTTTCTACAGATCAGGCAGCCTCTGATAGCTGAATCCTGAAGACAGCTGTATTTAAATTTGGTTTAAAGTTCTTGGGTGCTTCTCATTGGTATAGACTCCCACCTGCTTCCACAGGGCTGAGATTTCATTCCAGGTATTCTCTCCTGCCATTCTCCACCTATTGGAACTTGTCTTGGAAGGAGAAAAAAAGTCTTATCAGGGCAAACTCAAAATGCAAATCATGCCTTCTGCAAACCCCATTCCACCCAAACCACAATCCATGAGACTAGGACTGCACAGCACAGCCTCCTTAGACTGTGCAGCCAAAGGAGAGCAGAACTTTGCTCAGGCAGATGGTTTAACCAGGAGAGCTTGAAACACAGATGTGGGTAAATATCGGTAGGATAAAGTAAACCAAGAACAGAAAGCAGAAGTGACATCTCATGGCAACACAGCAATTCAGTGGCAGAGTCTACAACCTAAATGTGATACCCTAACACAGGGGAGTTTGGATGTCCAAACTAAACTTTGCCAGGTCCTGGAAAACAAAGCCTTCTCCTTTGGTTAGGGATGGAGAGAAAAAAAGGGGGCCTTTTCGGTACATCAGAGTAAAACCATGACAAAATATGACAATCTATTCATGCCACAGAACACAGACTCCTCATTTTGCCCAGCTTTATAACAAAAAGTGAGAGACCAACACTACTATAAGATAGGAATTTCCCATGCTCAATCTAAATAAAAATAAGTTCATCCCTTTATACTCCTTTCCACATAAAAACCCTCCAAGGTAAAAAAACCCAAACAAACAAACAAAAAGCCACCAAAACAAAAAACCAAACAAACTATCAAAAAACCTCCCAAAACAAAACAAAAACAAAACAAAACACAAATAAAAAAAACCAACCACAACTTTCTTTCCAATGTCAACTTTACATACAGCCAACACCATCTTTCCAGTCTGAATCTCTGCCTGGAGCAAAGAGCTTGATCCTGTGAGTAGGACCCTCACCACCAGCCAAGTTACTAAACCCCAATTCATTTGCTCTCTGAGGTCCTCCTGGAACCCTGCAGAGGAGTTACCCTCACACTAGGATTGTGTGAAGTCACCAAAATTCTGTTTGAATTTGTCCAAAGTATGTGCAGACTGACACATCCAGAAATGGGACATTCACAGAGGAAAAGGAGAAATGTGGAAATCAGGGAGATTTTTAAAAATATGAAAAGTGTAAGATAGAAATTGGTCACAAAGCAGAAACACAAACTTTAACCACGATGATGGATCACAGACATAAAGAATAAGCCTCACTAGCAAAGTTTAAAATAGCTTGCAAACACAAGGCTCCCTCTAAGACACCGTGACAGTGGAGGCATTAAAATTTTACTCCATTTTAAGAAGTTTAGAATTACAAAAGGTCCAGAGCTCAACATCTCAGAAAATCCTTCAGCTAACAGAATAGCAGATGACTTCCAGCCTAAATATCCTAATTTACCCTAATTAGTTGCTAAAGGTGATATAGGAGTTAGAAACGGTTAAGTGACTCTTTTCTGCAGGTGGGTTCCTCTGGGGACAGTGGTATCAACTTATTTGATACATTTCACTGGCTAATGGACAAATTATTGCCCAGTATTGTACTTGAGGCTACCTCTAAGTAGAGACAAAGGTTAAATGCCCAAACCATTTGCAAACAGCACAGTCAACCAATCTGCCCCATTATTTCCTGTGGAATTGCTAAAGTGTCTTCCAAAAATAGCCAATAGTTTTGCTGAAAGGCTCAAAACAAACAGCACTTCTGAAGGAATATCTTACATAGTTTACATAATAGCCATCTCAGAAGGGAAAAAAGGATGTGTACAGTGTTTCAGCATGAATTCTGCATTGAACAAAAAGACATCATTCTTTGCTTAACACGAGGCTTAAATTCACCATGAAGGAAACTGCTGAGGTCAAAGCCTCAGGGCTCAAGTTGAGAGGGAGATATCATTCGAAAGGGAAGAACTTTTATCCTAGATTCAAATAAAAATAAGATATGTAAAAG